CACAGAAAATCAAAACCCACTTGCTCAAGAAAAAAAAAGTTCCTGATTTATTCTTGAGTGTTTTTTATAAAGCATCATCGGGGGGAAAGTGAAATATTTGCACGTTGTAGGTGCAGAAAGCTCGGTCGATGCAGGATGCATTTTTTTATTTTTCTAAGCTGATGTTCAAAAGCCTGATTAAAGGAAATACATTTTACTGAAACACAAGCAATCAGGTTAAATAATTTATAATGTATTTCAAAAATAACACAAACGGATAAAACAGCGTCACCTTTACTTAAATGAACTTGCAAACCTGAGAGGCAAAGCTGCAGGATAATTAAAATAAATGGTTCAAGGTTCGAGATTAAAGACTCAGTTTAAGAGTCATTATGCAGCTCAGTAAAAATTACACCCACAACTATTTATACATGAATGAATAAATAATCAAGTCCAAGAATAAAACTTTTTTTTTTTTACGGTGGAGAGTGGAGGATGAGTTCATTCTCACAGCCGGAGGGAAGAAGCTGCTCCTACGTTTGTCAATACAGCAGCAGCAGCAGCAGCAGAATGAGCAAGCTGTGCCTGGAAAGTCTTTATTCTATTAGCATCCACTGTGTTTTTCACAAACACCTCCATCCACTCACTGGTATTACTGATTTTCCTCCAGGGGAAGCGTTGCATGTTAAATTTTAAAGTTTCACAGACGGAGTTGCTGCTCATCTTCCAGTGTTATTTACTTCATGGTTTCTATTTCTTTTATCCAAGAGAGAAATGCACAAAACATGGCCGCTCCACGTTCAAGCAACTTGGCGATTTGTCGTATTGACTGCAAATACAACACCAGGCAGGAAGATTTAAGCTGATGTCCAGCAACAGATATTTCTAATCCTTTACATTTTGACCTAAACACATGCATTAAAAAAAAGGTAAAAAGAAAAAAAAATTATTGGTAGAGAAAGGCTCTAAAAAGAAAGGAGTACAGAGGAAAACTGACTCAAACAGGATATTCCATAGCTGATCAAACATTTATGAAGATTAGACCTAAAAAGTTCAAAAACTACTTAGAAATCTAAAAGTCTTAGATTCAGAACGCCTTAAAGGCTGCTTTGACTTTGAAAGCTGCTGGTTGTTGGGCTGCAGACGCAGGGCCTCTCTCAATGCGTCATTGCTGCTATGGGCGGATAGCAGCAGGAAGACAGTCACCTTACATTTCTGAAGATATCCTAAAGGTTTGGTGAACAAAAAGTTGGAGATTCAAAAGATTTTTACTTGCCCTGAACTGAAGGATCTAAGGGTGAAATTCTCACCACTTCTCTTCGCTTCAGTCAAACTCCAGTTCATTTGTTCTTTGGTTCTCATGCAGACCAAATAAACAAACTCTGGCCTGCCCACAAATCTAGGGTCTTGGTTTGGTTGAAGTGAAATCTGGTCGGTTTGAATTCATATGTGAACGGCAAAAGCAGGAAGACTGCGGCATTCTGGGTAATTACAACAAAACAGACATCCTGCAACCGCTAACATTTGACGCCACTCCATTTTTGTTTACATTTTGAGAAGAGGGAAGTTGCCTTTTCTGCAGAGGTTTTTGTGTCGTTTCCTTCAGTGGTTATTGATGCAGCGCCCCCACAGGTGAGAAGGGGAACAGGTTTTTTAAAGGGCTTGGTTTGTTTGGAAGCGAGCCACAGCAGTTGAAAATGTAACAAATGTAGCAACTTAGGTGAAAACAACCTGAGAGACTGATCAGGAAGAAACCCTCACTGATGCCAACTGCAGAAACTCTTTCCCATTTTGACTTTCCAACAAAGCACCAAACATTGGACAAAGAAAAATGGCAGAAAGTGATAAGAAAAAAGATTAATCTCGACACAGTCAATGGGTTTTGACTAGGCCTGTCACGATAACAAATTTTACTGGACGCTAAATTGTCCACAGAAGTTATTGCAATAAATGATAATATTGTTTTGAGACCTTTTTCAAGTCATCTAATGGTAATAACATGATAATAACAATGATAACAATAATAATAATTCAAGAACACATTTAACTGGAACTAGAAAACATTTTAAATATCCAAAATACATAAACAAAACAACAGAAATAACAAATGAAATGAATAATAAAGTCTCTATAAACAAAACTGTCCGTCAACATAAGGGCTAGTTGAGACCAAAGCACCAGACTGGAGACTTTTGTCTCCCAGTTTTTGGTGGAAAGAGAGAGAAAAAAGAAATTAATTGATTTATTGCGACAGGCCTAGTTTTTACATTACTGTTGACTCTGCATGCTGTTGTGTTAAACGTGTAGGAGGAAAAGCATTTTCTCATGGCATCATGTCTCCAGTGCTATTAAACTAAGGCTGATGCACAATACTTAATCCATAAAACCTGTGTTTGCATTTCTTTATTTCTCCAAACTGATATTCCATAAATACAAATTCATCGCCTAGTACAAGTAATTATGCAACTACTCCAACTTGAAATCTGTTTGTATATCTCTCTGGTGCCCTAAACTGACTTGTACTGTAAACAGATACTTTGATAAATTAACTAAATTGAATATTCATCTCAAAACATGAAACAACTTTTATTCAAAGCTTTGTGTTTATGCCCACTTTCTTCCAGATTCAGTTTTAAATTCACTTACCGGAGCCTGGGTTATTTTTACAGATGTGTTGTGAAAAGATTAAAAATTAAGAAGTCACACAGAATATAATCAGATTTGAAAAAAAAAAGAGAAAAACTGGAGGCATAAAACGAAACGCAGTTGAGAGCTCAGATTTCTTGTAAATTATTGATTTTGCTTTCGCGTTTCTTTTTTAAAATCATTATGCGACTTTAAAACTCAGGCTTGAAAAGAAAGATTCTCGTTTAGTGTTGGAGCAAAAAGGCTTCCCAGCCTGAAAGGGGGGGAGTATCCGACGTTGCATGAATGATTTAGGGGAACCAACACTGCCATGATTTCTGAATTCACATCCACAAAAACAATTTTACCCGCTTTGCTCCCGCACTTGAGTGGATTTCATTAGTATGTAAGGTGGTTTGCTTTCAGCATCAGTATTCTATAGTTTTACAAACTGATGATTTTTTAATGACAGGCAATCGGTGCATTCCTGTTTCAAGCTGTGGAATACAATAAGACGTTTAAAAAGGGAGATTCTTGAGTTTTAAACTTGTCTGTAACTTAAAGTCCTGCTTTTTTTTCTTGCAAATTTATTCCCAATCCTTGGACTTTTTTTTTTAAACATTTTGTCACGATAAAAAAACACACACAAAAGCTTTAATGCATTTTGTTGGGATATTTTGTTAAAAACCAACACAAAGAAGTGACAATTTGTGACCGTTTAATGCACATCAGAGTAAATGTAAACATAGGGATGTCAAACACATGACCCGTGGGCAAAATCCGGCCCGCCGAAGCTTTTTATGGGCCCTCTAGATTCATTAAGTGCGCTTAAATATTATGTTTCAATCAAATCAATGCAGTTTTTATTCGTTTAGTGCTAAATTATATAATTCAGTCCCTCCAGTTTCTTGAGAATTATCGTGGAAATTCATGGAAAATTATCAAATCCCCAAACCTTTTTGCGCTAATAATTGGGAGTTTATTAGTGAGTTCTCTCAAAAACTTTCTTACTTGCACTAGACAGCGGACTCGGCCTCTATTGGATAGTCCATGATCGAAACAACGAGTCGCATTTACCGTCATAAATAAGCGCAAATATTGCAAATATTTCCAAATTAGTACCACAAACACTTTGATTGTTATTGCAAAAAAAAAAAAAAACACAAAATCCTGGAGGAACTGAAAAGATGTTCAATAATATTATTTTATTTAATTTTTGAACAGGTTTTTATCAATACATTCTGGCACAACTGGCCCTTTAAGAGCACTTGATCTCATGATTGGCCCAAAACGAAAATTAGTTTGTCGCCCCTGATCTAAACCGTTTCTCGGATTAATTAATACGATGGACGACATGGACTCTGTTTTCTAATTAGATGAGTCATAAAAGCAGCTGGTTGTGGCAACAGGGAAACATTGAGGCAACTTTTACGCAACATTTAAAATTTTTTTTTTTGTAAAAAAAAGTTTAGAAAATATGCTTGGTTTTCCTTCCACCGCACAGTTGCGTGCAGCTTTTTATTGATGCATCTCGTAAAATTCCCCCAGAATATATTAAATCGCGTAACACGGAAAAATGTGCAAAAGTTTAAGAGATAGAAACTGTGGGGATAATTTTATGTCAAAATGCAGACAATTCATATGACATCTGGGTCTTATTACCTTCAGTTTATGTATAAGGAATTCATACATTCCCATCCACTGCAACAGCAGATGTTTGTTGGTATTATGACATCTCTACAGCCAGAATCGGTAATTATAATTCAAAGAAAGAGGCTTGTGTTAACTACCATATGTTTGCTCCAGAAAGCATCCACAAAAAAGCTCTCAGCAAGCAGACGCAGGCCTGAACAGACATGAAGCAAAGCAAGAAAATGTTCTTCATCTGATCCACTGAGGAAGATTCACTCAAGTCTGCAGAAGCACACACACGAAGCCAAACAATTAATAATGGAGGTGATTGCATACAGACTGCCATTCTGCAGCGAATCTGCACATGCTAGCAAGGCAAAACCCACAGGCAATTACAGGGGATTACATGGTGTGAAGGAGAGGTGAGGCAGGAGGTTCAGAGCAGCGAGGTCAGAACAAAAGATGATGCAGAAAGAGGAAGAAATGAGGCTGCCACGTTTACGTCGAAGATGAGAGAAGCTGATGGAGAAGATGAGGTAAGAGGCTTAGACGAAACCCCCTGCGGATTCACCGGCCAGTGTTCGCTTTTAACACCAAGCAAGCAAAAAAATAAATACAAGCTCCTTAGTGGCTTTGTAGAGGCTTTTAACATCGTAAACCAATTACCAACTCCAAGGCATAATGACGACAAAAGGTCACCCTTTTGTCTAAAATCGACACCTAATGGCAACAGCCCAGCGGTTCCTGTGGAAATCAGCTCTCACCGGTTTATCAGTGAAGGGGGTCGACTCAGAGGGCGCCATGTCGTAGTACGGGGGCTGCAGAGGCAGCTTCTGCATTTCCTCATCTTTGTCAAGATGAACCACCTGCAAAAAAACAGCAAGAGGTCAGCATGACAAGAGCTCCTCACGCAATTAGCCCTGCAACTTTTTACTGGATGTACAGTAGCTGAAAGAAACAAGACAGCAAGAAAAGATCACGTTAAATTAACCGTTTCTGACTTATTTTGCTCACATGCAGCTTTTTGTGGTTCTAATGAGAAGAAACTGGCACCGTTAATTTAAGATCTGACGAGGATTGCAGCTTGACAGTATATTAAACTTTCAGGTTGCAGTGCTGAACTCTTGCACCAGTTATTTTGTCAAATTAATGACTTCCATATCAGAGAAACGCATGATGCAAATCTCTGAAATAGCAGAGCAGCAACGTAAAAGCTGAACGCAAACGGCACAACATAGCTACAGGGATTTTGTTTCATGCCTTAAGGTGGGATTCGATTGGCAAGCACAGATAGAAACAACTGACCGTTGGCTGACACAGTTTATATCGCTTTGTAAAAGTATTTAAGCCTCTTGCACCGTAACATTTCATCATGTTACAACCACAAACCTCAAACAAAATCTATGATTTTCAAAAATGTTGGATCTCCAAAGTCTTGTTTGGAGCTATTTGGAGACACAAGAAGAAGAAAAACAAGAAGGTCCTCCTGTCAAATGAGATCAAGATGCACCTTTTTGGACTACAAATGTTTGCTAGAAGCTGGATATTAATCTAAGAAAAACAGTGTCAGCATCATGATGTGGGAAGTTAAACTGGAGGAAAACTTGGTGGAAGTTGCAACCAAGGATTTAACCAACCAGTCAGATTCAGTGTGAATTATTTTGCAGAGAAGAATGGGCCATTTGGCTAAAACTGAATAATCAGAACATGTTTCATATTTTATTTATAAGAAAGAAAGAGTGCAAACCATCCTTCTGTTTCACAACTACTACCTTTATTGTGTTGGTCTGTCATATAAACACCCCAAATATTCATCCTACGTTGTGGTTGTAATGTGAAAGAATGGGAATTAAATATTTTTGCTCGTCACTGTTCCACCTCTAACTAATAAGCTAATCTTTCTAACTTTGAAACAATAAATATAAACTGTTTTCAATTGGGTGTTAAAACAGCAATGTTTAGCGTGTATCGCTTTTCCTGAAAAATTGTATTTTTTCAGGAAAAATAAAAAGAAACAGCAGTTAAGAGGAATATGCATGTATCCCAAGGATTTGTTTTCCCTGCTAAGCTTGTAAAATGATGACCCATTTAGTAAAAAAAGCTGTACGTATGTACAGCTAACGAGAAGCGTAATGTCTATCTATACTAACGACCCCGCTGTGTGTTTCTAATGGATAAATATCCAACTGCAGGGTGAAGGCCTCTGGCAGAGACGGGCTTTTAAGGCTGTTTGCTCACATTACGTACTCAACACACAGAGATATTAACTGATTTTTGTTTCACTTTCCAATAAAAAGTAAAAAAAAAGTGATTGAAAGTCATCAAAGTAGCCAAAAACAATGAAAAGTGTTTCGTCTCTGCAACAATGTGCTGTTGAATTTAAGGGATCAAAAGGCTGCCCACTGCCGTTTTCCTCCCAGTCAGCAGAAGCAGCTGAACTCCAGTCAATACACTCTTGGGCACTGTGAACCTATTTATGTCAAAAGGTGAAGAATTTAATGCCTCAGTGGACATACAGAGAGCTGAGCACCGGACTTTAGATGTAATAAAATGGTAGAAAGACTTATTCGAACAAAAAGAAGAAGAAAAAAAAATGCTCCAGCCTTGTCGATGGTTGTTCTCTATTTGGCTCTCAGAGCAACAGACATCCAGGCTGGCTGGACGGTTCCTGTGCCTGGTATACACATTTCATTTAGGTCCAGCTGCACAGAAGGCTCTGGTGCTGCAGCATGTTGTCTTCCTAGCATATCTGTGGTATTATTAAGCCACTGCATGTGAGAAAAAGAGCTTTCGTCGATGCACTTTATCTCCTCCTGCCTGCTTTGTCTAGTCTGTTTTTCCTGAATGGTTGGTTTTGCCAGCGGCGCAGTAGTTGTTGCGTTTAGTCTGCTTGATCATAAATGTTTGAGCTGCTTCCAGTCGGCTGCAGAGGGACTCTGGGGACATTTAGCAGAAAAATCGTCTCACATGCCTCACAGTTGAGCAAATGCAAAAAAAAAAAAAAAAAAAAAAAAAAAGGAAAAAAGCGATTTTATAAACATTTTCGTCATCTGTTGAATACAGAGACTTTAACTGCCCAACTTTTAGTTTTTAAACATTTGTACAGCAAAAATACTAAATCTTACCAGTATTTTTGGTCTAGTTTCTAAAGCTAATATCTTAGTACATTAGAAATAAGACAAAACTAAAGAACAAGTAACATATCCCCAAGATGTAAGAGGTAGTTTTAAGTAAATGATTTCTTCATTTTTTCCATGTCAGAAGTGAAATAATCTGCAAGTGGAACCAGCACTTTTACCAACACTCAAGAATTACTGACTTAAAACAAGCTAGTGTATGTTGCTGTAAAGTTATTTTTGCGTTAGTTTTGTCTTCTTTTGCATTAGAGAAACAACTTCAACTAAATTCAACATTTTTTAACTCAATTTTAGATGTTCAGCAACAAACTACACATTAATCTAATTTTTGTTGAGAATTGATCAGTAATTTATGAAAAAAAAAAGTCACACTTCCTAAAAGAAAAGCATATAATTCCTAAAATTTCATCCTCAACAAGAAGAACAGCATATGGCTCACTCTTTCTCCAAAAAGGCTAGCTGGATCTTATGAACTGCCTGTGTTGATTGTTCATATTCGTCCCTTTTTGAATTGCTGTCAGGGGCCACAGAAAATCCTTCGTAGAGCTTCAAATGGCCCCCGGGGCAGCAGTTTGGACGCTGCTGCTCTAAAGCTTTCAGTTTCACATTTTAGAAAATACAGCAGAAGACGGTTTTTCTTCCTTTCTTTTTTAAAAAGAAATTCCCCGAGTCCCAGCAACATTAACACATTAAGACACACGACAGCTGAAGGGAATAATCTTGGCTCCCCACATTTACATGGATTCTGTTTTGACGTCTACCCGCCCACGTGAAGCATTGTTGTCTGCCACTTCCTGAAAACACTTTGCTGTGACTCGGTAGTGACTCCTGGTAACAGAGCCATGCGAGCACGGACTGTCTGGAAAGGTGGTGCTTTATTGCTGCATCCTAAAAAAGATATAAATTACAGTGAATTACTTGATAAAGTTTTGCTAAGGCAAAACCTCTGGAAGTTCAAAAAGTAGAGAGAGTAATAATTAGAGCTGTGTCATTACAAGCTGCCTGGTGGCTGTGCTGATTATCTCTGTGTCATTTAAGGAGACTGCTCATCATGATGACTGACAGGCTTTCAGGCAGGAACTCACCAGCTAAGTGGATGAACACACAAATGAAGTCATGATTTAGAGTTCAAATTCAAATAATCCCTTAATATTTTGGGACGGCGTGAAATCGACATTTCTATGATAAAATCGGGCCCCTGCTACTTTGTGAGACACTGCTGTGCAGAATCAGTTCTCAGGAAAAAGCAGCACCTGGATTTATTGTAGATTTTCTTGCAAGCATGACAATTGAAAACTACAGAGACTTAAAAATATGCATAAACTGCATAATCATTTGGTTAATTTAAATGTTTTTAAAAGGACTTTGTGGAGGGTTTCCCAATTGTTAAGGATGAATTGCTTCCAAAATAACTGAGTGGGGTTTTAGATTTGACCACAACAAATTTAAATAATGATGCAGAATTTTATTTCCTTAGTTTTGGGAGTTCTACGATCGGCTGATTTTATCAACCTCAGAAAAGGTTTGAAAATGAACCGCCCTGCAGGTCACGTCTGCACGTTGGCAGTTTACAACAAGCACCCCCATATTGCCAATTCAGAAACTTTCTTGCTATGTTGAGCAACATTTCAGCCAACGAAAATTGGAATCGGCCAAAATCGGAACCGGCAGGTCAGGTTTTCTACAGATCGGTAATTGGCCAGACAACTGCAATCAGTGCATCCCTAAATTTAAATAAGCTTGGCATCAAAATGAGGAAGTAATTGAACCAATTAGATGAGATGTTTTGGTGCAAGAACACACCTAAAACATGCACCAACTTTTTAGGACTGGAATTAGCTGCTGCTGGTTTTGTTTCAGTAATGTAATGTCATGATGCTGCCACTTTGCTGCCACGCGAGTCAAACAATGAGGTCATCTGAAGAACTTTACAGAACCTGGCTTGCTACTGAGGATGTGATTCACTCATTTGGTTAAAATGCTTTGGACCTGGATCCCGTCTGAAAGTTGCTTGAAGCCTGGATTTGAAGAGCCGTGGTTTAGATCAAAGCAAATCCATGTTTCAAACTGGCCCATTGAAAATTGAAAATCTGTGGCAAGACTTCAAAACTCACAGTTCAGACATTGTCTTCTCAGTTTAACTGTGGTTGAGTTATTGTGTAAAGAAATGTCAGAATAAATATCCATCTCCAGATGTGCACAGCTGGTAGAAACAGCGATACATGAACATACTTTCCATTTTCAAATTATGGCCTTCTTTGTGTTGGTCTGTAAAACATATTGAAGGTGCTGTAGGTTTCTCAAAGTGGGGTCCCGCTTCACCGGGGAACATTTTAAGCACCAGCCTGTGAGGATTTGAACAAAGGGCACTTTGAGAAAACTTCAGGGGAAATTTTGGGTAACCCTGGGAAATGGGATTCAGCTGAAGCCCAGTTGATGCATATTAAAACCTTTTTCAAGAAAATACAAAAGGCAGAGGCTCAACGCTACTTCAGTTTATTCTCACGTAAAGACAAATGCCTCGTTTTTAAAACGGGTCCAAGCTGCAAATGTTCATTTTAAAGTTGGGCAGATAATTAAAAGTCTTACCTGGATGTCGTCAGAGGTCAAGTGTCCCTTCATGTCGCTGTTCTTCTTTTTGGGAGGCGGGGGAGCTGGTTTGTGGGCGGGTGGGAGGTCAGTCCTGTGAAGAGATTGAAAAGACAACATGACACTCAGCACAGTCAGGGTGGGCTGCTCTTCACGTCCCTCACCTTCTACAGCACTCTATAATGAGAAGTCCTGCCTGCACTTGCCTTTTTCACTCTTTCCTTGGATTTTGATAGATCTCGTGTTGGTGGCTTTGTTGCAGCCGCAGCCATCCCTGCCCTTGCAAAGGCTCTCGCTGGAGAGACACTGTGCTAATGAGAGTGGGCTGTAATTGGACACTGAGGTGAGGAGATAGGGATGGAGGGGGTGTAGAGGGCAGGGAGAAGGGCATGTGTGAGTCAGGTCCTCAGGGTTGGACTGAACCTCATCCAGAGTGCCACGTGGACAAACACCCTGCCTACTGTGCAGTGACCATTTGTTTGACATGCCGTTCAGAGCTGGGACACAAAGAGCTCAGCGGGCGCTTTTACCTGAATCACCGGCACCAACACCCTTCATCCTAATGCACTCAACCCTGCCCTCCGAGGCCACACCGGGGAAAACAAACCCACAACGACTCAAAGCTACATTTGGAGCAAAATATTTACATACAACATGTTGTTTCTCACTGTCTGGCCAAACAAAACTGTTCCTGCTTTAGGTCAGTTAAGATCACCAAATTATTTTCCAGCCACATGGTGCCATATTAAAGCACAGTCTAGTAACTATGCTGCCTTCAGTTGTTATAAATATGCTGCATGTATCAAACACAACATAAAAGAAAGCTAACACCTTGAAAATGGGCTTCTGTGTCTTTCCGACACGCCGCCTTAAGCACATCATCACAGGAATCCTCCTCTATTGACCCTTTATCTTCGTTCTGAGGAGTGAAAAGTAGTTTCTACAGTGGTGTCTGCCAACTGTTGCTGCTGCTAGTCTGAAGGAGCTGAGTGGGGGAGTCGGTGCTTGGCTGCCACTACAGGATTACTCAAATATGAATGGAAGAAAATCAGAGCAACACTCCAGGTTACTCCAGAGAATGATGCAAAGTTAAAAATATTTTGATTTCACACAATACTGCCCGTCTAAACGCCAAAGTAATTAGATATTTTCTTTCTTAAAATTCAAAGTGTTGAAAAAATTTCTTTACTTTTTGGTGAAACTCTGTTTTTAGTTTTTTTTTTCTCACAGTTTCCTCTGGTTTGCTGGAAATGTGGTTTATTCCTCTAGGCAGAACTGGTGCAAATGTTTAGGTTTGCCGACGGTCATTAGAGTTAGGACATCTGGACATTTTGTACCCATCTATGAAAAAGGCTTCTGGAGGTTTGTTTGAGTTCCTCTGGATTTCCCATGATGCCACACAAGGAATCAATGTTTTTGAGGTTCTACCATTAAATTCTCAATAACAACAACGACTGTGTCTCAACAGATTGCTTATAGTAATCATAGCGTATGAGATACTAAAACTTATCCCTTCATTTTTCTGGCCTTTAGATTTGTAATCCTGACAGACAAAACAGGAAAAGTTTAGTTTGATTCAGAAATGGAAACACGGTTCCATCTCTTTTTAGGCTCCATGTGTAAGCATCTTGTTTAACGCTGTAGGTCACATCCTCTTAAAGTAAATCAACAATAAAAATGTCGTGTTATGATCTAATAGAAAATTAGATTTGTGGACCTGATGGACAGCCGTAATTGAAAGCTTTATGTTGAACTGATCTGAAGTGAATTTGGATAATTATTTCCGACAGAAAGGTTTGCCGCCATGCAACAGTTACAAAGAAAACCTCTTCCCTCCAACATGCCGGCAGTCAGATGTCATCTGTCGTACTCTGACATGATATCAGCAGTGATCAAAGATAATGAAGTGCAGCACGGATACTAAGCTGTGTACCTACACGCATTATCTCCACCTCCTCCCGCCTCCCATTCGCACTGGTTCACGTCCTTATTGAATAACATGACCTTTCCGCAAGGCCATGCTGGCGTTTTAATGTGCAGAAAATTTGTGCATGAGTGCACCTCTTAACTCTTTCTTTCACGCTCATTATTTCCGGTCCGTATCACCTTGTCTCCAGACGGGGCTGCAGTGCCCCTGCCAGATTCATGTGGCACCATACTCAGCCTGCCTGCCTGCAGCACTGAGGCACAGCTATCACACAGAAAGGCAGCATTCAGCGTGTTACCTCCTCGACAAGCCAGAACCTACAATTTTCTCTGAGATAGATAAATATCAGGCTTACAGAAATCCATTCTGCACAGGTACAGCACCGTGCTCATTAAAAGTATTTTATGTCACTGCTTATGACAGACTGCATATCAGTACCATGGAGAATTCAAGAGGGTTTCACGGCGAACGCCGTAATGATGTTTCGAATAATGCATTGCAACCCCTCTCTCGGTGCAAGCTAACGCTGCGCTTCTGTTACAAATGTGCGCAAAACGTCGTCGATGTGCAGCTAATGGCGCAAAAATACAATTTTGTAATTGCTGTGTTTCCCTTGAATAAGAAATGCAGTTAAACAGAAGCTGCACCATCATCCTCCTACTACTTCCTGTCATCTTCTTCGTGTTTTCCGCTAGTAGTAACATCTGGTTATTGATCACGGCTGGGTTTCTACTGCAGTTTTGTAAAATACACAAATTTTGATACAGTTGAAAAGCCAAATGATCCTACAGCAAAAATATTTTAAAACATTTTTTTTTTCAAAATTGGCATGTTCCCATTAAAAAAATATATATTTTCATAATTCCAGTTTGCACAATAATATGCACAATAGAAATGACAGAGAATATAGATGTTTCACTAATCTTGACACAATTTCTTTGTATTTTCACACCAGAACCAGAGGTTGGGAGCAACCCACGTTATCCACATATCCAAAAATATCAATAAAAATAAACATATAAATAAACTTCTATGTAAAAACTGGAATAAAAGATGGAATGACAAAGGTTTCACCCTTTATTATTCCGTCTTTTTACATAGATGTAAAGTTATCCGCATATCTAAAAACGTCAATACAAGTAGGTTTATAAATAAACCTCTATGTAAAAAGACTGAATAAAAAAGTGTTGAAAAGGAGGTGCAAAAATGCAGAGAAAGCCAAGAAAATTGTGAAAACCTGTCAGCTTTTGAAAGCAATTGTGCCTACCTTCATTAGGGCAAATAAATGCTGTCTGGCCTCATCCTAATTAAAGGCCTATAAAAAGATTTCTTGATACCAAGGGATAATAAAAGAAGCATCTAATGATAGGTAAAGAACCCTCTCAAGACGATATTGTTGGTGCTGTTTGCAGATGTATGTCTGAACTTCTGACCGTTAAAGTTTGAAATAATCTGAAAATGGAAAAATGATTATTTACCACAAATCAGCGATGGACCGATGCTCCCGACAGGGCAGAGGAGTAAAAATAAAACCGGGGACCACACTTCAGCAAGACCTTGAATTAGCAGGTATAATTTATTAAAGGCAAATGACAAGTAATGCACTCAACTGTCAGCCGAAGAAACTCTTAACTGGTTTCAAAGGAAGAAAATAAATCTGATCCAGCCAACCGTATGTGTAAAAATCTATGCAAAAAACCTGAGAGCAAAGAAGAGGCTCCAAGATTTAATCACAGTTTGAATGAAAAGATATAAAAATAAAGACGATCAACAAAGGATTGTATTGTAATAAATGAACAACATGTTATTCTATTGTATTACTCATAACTTGAGTTGTGGACACAGTTGTGTTGATCTTTTTCAAAGTGCTGATTACTTGGGTTGTTAACGACATCTGCTGTGAATCGCATGGAAATACCCTCAGCAGAAATACGGTGGCTGAGAAAAACATCGATCGGTTCCATATCGCTCTCCCCTGCTGTAAACTCAAGACGTGCCGTCTCTCTAATCCAGACACATTTCTCACTCCGACTCGTGAAAAAGTAAAACCGCGGTGTCCGCAGGTATGGACAAATTCATTCAAACAAGGTGAATCCTGCAATATTTATGAATGTAAATTTCCATTTCAGCCTGCAATTATTTTTTTTTTTTCTACCTACATCGGATCTTGTGGAAACTCCGGCAATTGCGTTTCATTGCAAGGGAATCAGGACAAATATGCAGTTTGCAGGGCCCCCCCCACATGCAGAGTGGTTTATTAAATTTGACCAAACACAAGGATATTGACTCATCTCATGGCTGCATCCCTACAGCGGTCACGTTGGCCGCGACATACCTCCCATTCTCGATTGAATCCTGCAACATTTGTTATCATGTTACACACAAGAAGCAGCAGCAGCAGCAGCAGCAGTGCGTAGCACAGGATGCTGCTCCCGTTTGACACATTGCTTGGGAGGAGGGAGCAGAAAGCAGCGTTTGATGAAGTGGTGTGTGTGCTGAGAGTACAAATACATAGTAAGACTGGAGCACAGGCGAGCAGATGCCAAGACAAACACACAGCCTCTGTTTGCTATGCAAGTAAACGTCAAGTTTCTACATGTACGCTGCTTGATTACCTTAACG